TGGTTTCGAAATTCGCGAAGGTCCCATAAGATTTGGAGGCGGAGTTGTCGACTTCTGTGTAGAAGGTGAGTGCCCAACCCATAGCACTGTCTTCTGTCATATATGCAAGAGCGGTAATAACCTTCTTCTCATCGGTGTTGTAGATTGTAGCGTTAAGCGCGAAGTACGCCTTAATCGCATACAACCATCGTAAAGCCTGCTGAGGGCTCCCGTCGTAGGTGGAGGGGGCTCCGGCTTTCAATTCTGGGGTGTTGACTGTGGTGGACATCCTGAGCGTCTGGTCAAGTGATGTTTCTGTTCAGGGGAACGTTTTCGTTCTCTCTCTGAGTTCTTGTTCTTCTAGTAACCTCCCGGATGGAGAGGGTCGGTAAAATATGACTTTAATCTTTTGTTACGGTGAACCGTAGGTCGACTAGGATAGGCGCGACAATAGATACTCGATAAGAGTAACGTCTAGAGTCGGATCGTAACCTCACAAATGTAAGGCTTCTTTAAGACAAATCAGAGAGAGTGTCTCCGACTTGAATATCGATATCAGACACTTAAGATTGGGGGTCTTAAGCGAAGGATGTTCTGGGTAAAACCTAGTAGATTAAAGTGAAGACTATCTAAGTACAAGACCTGTTTATATAAGTAAGGCCTGCTTTAGGGCTGGTACGTACACGTCATCGAGACGAGTCAGAGATAAGAGGTGAGTCATGTACACGTCATCGAGATGAGTCAGAGATAAGAGGTGAGTCATGTACACGTCATCGAGACGAGTCAGAGATAAGAGATGAGTCAGCTAGCGACGGCACGTGGCGGTCGTGCTGTGATACAGATATAGACGATAGTCTAATGATGGCACATCCTGGTGCGGTCACGACGTAATACACGTGAGTATGGAAAAAGAGATAGGGGGTAACCATTATTGTAACAGCATCAAGGATTCATCTCATGTCTGCACTCCCTACGTCATTGACCGAGGATACAGGTTCCCTGAACCAGGTCTCCTATTTGGTCCCAAGCTGCTGGAGCACCTTCAGGGATACATAACCACTTGGCTCGCCTGTCATCCAATATGGATCAGATGGGTTGATCACAACCCTCCTCACAATTACCCATCCCCTCAACTATGGCATGACTTCCTCAGTAGCGGGATTTCTGCCCAATCACAAGCTGCAGTGCCCAAAGCAAAAGCTCCCGAAAAAAAGTTCTTACTGTGGCAGAGAAGTGCAAGGGAATGATGAAGGATTTGTTTGGAGATGATATGGTGGACTCTCACAGAGGTTTATTTGCACCAGAAGGAATGGTAGAATTTCATGGTGAACAGGTCCCTGTCACCAGTCTCACCTACCCTCCCCAGCTCCTTGCCCAAAAGATTACCTGGGAGTTGTTCAAGCTTGGATTCCACTATGAATTGAGGGATCTTGATCGTCACTTGGCCAAGGGATGCTGGGCAGAAGATCCAGTTGGTCGCGAACAGTTGCTGCATGCCATCTTCCCTGGTGAGGCTGGCCTTGTCATGTGGTTGGAGCTGTTTCCAATGGACAATTATGGGATGTGGAATAATACCTTAATTGGTGTTCTTCCATACCTTGAAAGTTTCTGACAGCTGCTGTGCTCTTGGGATGATGTGCCGCCCCTTCTTATATCGCCGCTCATGCAAGAGACTTTTACAGACACAAAATTGTGGGAAGTTGCTCACACTGCGACTGTGTTTTATGTTCAGACGTTTTTCGATCACTTCAGTAGGCCTCCCATTGTTCCTCACTTGCTCCCTCTGTAATCATGATTTCATAATGCTACATCACATATTACATTTTCTTCTGTGTTTGTGTACAAATATTATGTTCCCTCAGCCGTAATGGATGCTTCCGTGGTTTCCTCTAATCCCATTTTAGTGACATGGTGCATGTATTTGTTTCTCCAGCCTTCTGCTTAACTGTTCTGCACAGGCATGGGACATAATGTGTTTGTTAAGAACCATGTTGCTCAAGGGGGAGAGAGACTGACTCAGAGGGGCTTGGCCTCAGCTCATATGCTGTGCCCCTTACCCGAGTATGTGCCCTTCATTTTGTATGAGGTCTGATGATGGTCTGATGAAGTCCAGAGGACTTCCGGAGGCTGGCTACTCTGCTGGAGAGTGCTAGAGGACTTCCGGAGGAGCACGGGAGAGTTCTGGAGGAACACAGGAAGTGCTCTGGAGAGTTCCCACTGCAAGGTATTACTTCTACAGGAAACAGGATGGAAGGATAGGAGGTCCGAAGGTCCAGAGGACAGGATGTCTGAAGGACAGGAGGATAGGAGGGTAGGATGACGGAGGACAGAAGGACAGGATGTCCGAGGGTTAGGAGGACGGAATGTCCAAAGGACAGGATGCCTGGAGGTATGAGGGACAGGAGGTCCAGAGGTCTGGAAGGAATAGGGGCTACATCGGATGAAGTCCAATGTAGAAACAAACAGAGGTAGACTACCCTAAGGTAGAGTCGGAGAGACAGGAAGTGGACCAAAGTCCAGAAAGAGGGTAAGTGCTGGAAAGGCAGAGCTCCAGCCTAGGGAATCAATCCCTAGGCCTGATGAGTAGGACAGACTTAGGTGGACCAAAGTCTGAGAGAGGATTGGGCAAGTCTAAGTTGATATTCAAACTAAGGAACTACAGGAGTATCTACAGGGGTTATATACTGAACAATATCTGAGGGGATCAGTAAGCAAAGGAGCAAGGCTATGTATGAGCATGTGGAAACACATTAGTAAGTAAGACAGAACATAAGTAAATGAACTCGGAGATGAGGACTCATACAAGGATCAATAAGCAAGATGGAAGAAGAGGTAACCAAAAGCCGGAAAGCAGAGAATGCCTAAATGGGGATAGGCACAGGATATTGGACAGAGGGTGGGAATAGGTCTGGAGCTAATATCTGGAGGTCTGGAGATCTGGGGATCCAGAAGACAAGGTGGATACAGGACTGGGATATGAGAAGGTGGATAGAGTCCAGAATCCGAGACAAGGTGAAGTCCAGATGTCTTGCTGGATGGAGTGTACATAGGGTGGATGGGACAGGGGGTTATGGTTCAGGCTAGCAGTGGAGATCTGATGGTCTGGAGCATAGTCAATCCTGCTGAGGTGTGGAGCACACAGTGGAAGGGGATCTGGGAATGAGTTGGATATGAAGTGTGGTCTGGACGTAGGCTCGGAAGGCGTGGGAATATGATGGAACGTGGGTCTGGATTGTGGGATATGATAGTGTTCATATTCTCTGCAGCCACCAACTCGAGCGGTTTGTCCTGACTTATTCTTATTTTTATTATATTTACTTTCTCCATCCTTCACTTCCTTCCATTATCTTACTCTGCCCACATTTGTGCCTCCCTGAGTGAGATGACAAGAACATCCATGACATGTGGTTGATGCCTGATTGGGCTAACCTGAAGGGATGATGCAAACCTTTTCCCTCTGTATTTTCCCATTCTGATACTGAATTATTATCCTGTTGATCATTCACTTCTGCTTGTTATACTTCAATTTTTTTCCCTCCCTTTTCATTCAACGTGTGGGTCAGCCTGCATGCTTGACCTTTATTGATCTCTCCTGTCTGTTGCTGATAATCAAGCCCCACAGCTACTCCAACTGACTTCGTGTCATTGGCAACTTCTGCTCACAAGTTCATCCAAGTGACTTTGCATCATTGGTGTCTCACTTACTCCAATTGACTTTATGTTGTTGGTGTGTGGCGCCCATTATATTGACTCTTACAGTGCTGTGCTATGGTGGTCCATCATCCTAAACCTAGACATTGCAAAGTATCCACTCTGGAAGCAGCATCTGTCATGCAGGAAGAACTGCCCCCAAATACTATAGTCTGTCAACCTTGGATGAACAAGGCATGGTGATGTCCCCGCCAGACTCACAAGTTAGACCTCTATCTTCCTGGCCCACCCCCTGTCTTGATTATGCCCAGACATCAGCATCTCACTCAGCGTTTATCTCTTCCATCCACACCTAGGATGGTTACCCCCCAAGATCATGACAGACCCACAGATCCTTTTAGCGACTCCCTCTATTTCTTCAATGATCCCAGTGTCTGTCATCTCACCAGCTCGCAGAAAAAGACCAATCAGTGGCGCAGATGGTCAGAAGAAGTTATTCCATCACTTATAGTGCCCTATCTAGCATACATGCAGGAGACTTCAATGCTATGCTACACCAACATGGTATGACAGCCACATGGAGATACTGTAGCTTGTCATGCTGGGTGTGGGACATGCAGTATCAAGGTTGCATGCGTGTTCTTTGACAGTATGTTGTCTACCTTCTTTTCTCCCCCTGATGGCTAATTTAATGTACATTATAGGCCTGTCAGAAATTAATATCATTGTGTGCCCCTGTTTTCCTGCCCCTCTCCAGCTCCTTCATCATGGGCTGTTCCCATGTGCTCCTGTTGCTCCCTCACTTGCAGTGGACTTACATGTTCTAGAGTTTGTCTGCCTTCTTTTCATTCATCAATCCCCCAACCATACTGCATGGTGTGATGCAGTAGAGATGTTTCTAGATGGAATGGGATACAAGTTGACATTGATGGTTAGCATTTGATCCTCCATGTACATAGCATGTTTAACCTTGTATTAGCATAGCCTGTACCATCGCTTCTCCAATGCATTTCACTGGTACTGGGTGTTGACCATTTTAGCTTGTGATCACATCTCCAATCTTATTGCTGACACCTGGAAGGACAAGATCTGTTTGCAACCAATGGCAGTTGAACAACCTACTGAATACTTTTGTTCACACTGCCCACTTTGCTTTGGGGCAAATGATTGGCAAAAGGTGAAAGATTCTCATTTCATGTAAGTTCATTTATGTAGCTATGGTGCTGTGTACTCAGTTGATTTACAAGACTTGGACCTTGACGAGGATATGCTTTGTGCGGAGTGGAAGGCTCAGATTGCACACCAGACAAGACCCACTCCACATAAGAGGATACCTACCTGTTGTTGTTGTCTTACTGAAGTGTCTAGGTCAATCCAGGAACAAGGCAGCCAAGGTCATTACCACTCTTCTTGCATTGGAGAAGACTTTAGATGCACACAACACTTCTGTCTGCAAACTGGAGGCACAGTTACATGGTGGTCATGTTGATGACATGGTCGAGCTCAATCTGCAGCTGATTGATGCTCGTTCGCAATGTACCAAAGTTACTAACACTATCCGACATCATAGATCTGCACTTGGAGTGGAAGATAAGGCTGAACTCAAGAAGATGAAGAAGGACATTTATCTCACAGCCAGATTGAATGCTCATGCTGTGAAAACTCGCATTTGGGACCGTCTTCATCAACAGAAGTTTGAATTGGAGAGACTCAAGAGGTTGTACAGAGCATCTATCAATGGTGCATTCATTTATACTTCACCACTTGGATGACAAATCTCAGGTCTTTACAGCTGAAAAACTTCATGCAAATATGCAACACTCCATCAAACATTGCAAACCTGGCATTCTCAAGTTAGTCTCGACTTACAATGGCTTGTGTTCTCACATATGCTCGCTTATACGACAATGGAGAGCACCACCTTTTGCTATCCCCCCTCACTCCATTCTGCATGATGGCATCTTCCAACTCAATGTCGACAACAATATCTGGCAAGACATTGGACTTGACAATGCCACTGTCAACCCTCCAGCGTGGTTATCAGATGAGGCCATCAGAAACGGTATCCAGTTGCAACTTGAAGTAGATTGTTGCTTTGAGGAGGAGGCTCAACTGATGCGTGAGTGGTCTGTTATGCAGGAGTGGATGTTGACAGAGTGGGAGGGTATACAGGATGCCTTGTCAAATGCAGGTGTGTGATTGTGACCCTATGTCATGTCTGTTCTCAATTCATGTTGTAGCAGAGGATGTTGTGTTGACTTTCCACCTCACATCACACGCAGATAAGCTTGCTAACATCTGTGTTGTTTGGAGAAGAAAAGCTCAGTGTATTCCATGTGCCTGGTCAGTTGTGGATAGCTGGGGACCTTCAGATGAAGTCTTGCTTCAGGCAACACATGAACAGGTGCAGCCATCTTTTTGGGATGAGGATGACCAGAGTGTAGGACCTGTGGAAGAGGATAACAAGGGTGATTCAGATTGTGGTGAGATTGGAGATGATGAACTGATGGATGCAATTGAAGACATTGCATTGGTGGATGAGTATAGGTATGATATAGACCCTGATGATGACCTAGATGACATTGAAGATGATTTTATGCCATCATCCCCTACAAGATGTCCTATGAGATAGTATTGCATATAGATATTACATAATAATTTTAATATGTGCACAACACCTTGGTCTTTCTTGATAAGTGCAAATTAAAAAGTAACTATGGTCCTTCCCTCCAATCTGGTCTTTTCCAGTTAGATTAAAACATACTAATGATCTTTCCCATTGTGATCTGGTCTTTCCCTCTGACAGTAAAAAATACCGGTGGTCTTTTCCCTCCTGATATGGTCTTTCCCCTTGTGAGCTGGTCTTTCCCCTCACATTCTGCTCCTTCCCAAACAGTATAAATTATACCAATGGTCTTTCCCCTCACGATCTGGTCCTTCCCAATGATGGTGAAAAGTACCAATGGTCTTTCCCCTCATAATCTGGTCTTTCCCAGGGACTGAGGTCTACCCACATCTGTACCCACAGTACACCCATACTCATATTACTCAAGGGATACAGTGATTCCAGCATCTTATGAGACTGGAGATCCTGCCTATTCACCAGGGATAGTGATTCCATCATTTTCTCATCTCAGCTTACACATTAGCACAGTAAAACCATGGGTACCATGAGCTCTACCTGCACCTAATCCTGCTATCAATTTCGAAAATTTATTATGAAAATTTAGCCATGGTAGGACCCCTGACACCCATTTGCTACAGGGAATCCCAATGTATCTGTGGTATTTCCTGCCTGATTTTTATAATGATCCTTGGACCATTCCTGATACATCACATTTGGTCCCTATATATTCAGGGAAATACCCTTGAACATGGGCCGGACCTCCCCAAAAGCACCTCTTAGGCCTTTACTGCTATAGACATAATACAACCTAAGAGGTACCTAAAATGGGGTGACCAAAGTGCTTGTAGCACCCAAATTTTCATAGGCATCTGCCCACAGTATAGTTGTCTTATCCCAAGTTGGAGTGAGTGTACCATGTGCCCTGCCATACTTGGAAACAAATTTGAACAAAATGTAAAAAAGAGACTCAAGGTTGTCACCAGAGTTGTGCTCAACCAGTTCCAGCTGAGCAATGCTGTTGGTGTTGCTATTGCTCTTTTTTGCATTGATGGTTGTCTTTGACTTCTTGACGATGTCAGTGTTCTTGGACATTTTTTTCAAGATGTGCATAGAAATATATGGTACAGTTCCCTGAAATGCTGAGTTCAGCAATCAACAGCAAGAACAATGAACTTCACATTCAAACTTACAGTACCAAATGAAACTGTGAATGTCTTGCCCTCCTTTATGATTGACACATGATCAAAATCAATGAAATAACCGATGCCTTCAGAAATTACAAAGTTGTTTGGGCTAAGGTTTCCATGTAGAACTCTTTGTTGGATCATTGCTTCATGAGCTATAGATAAAATGTGAGATGATACAACAAACCAAGCACATAAAACTGAACTCACCAACCACAAAGTCACGAAAGGTGCAAATCAGCTCCTTTCTGGAGCTGAAATCCCATAATGGATCTCCACATGGGGTCAAGAGAAGGTGTTGGTAATACCTGTTACAGAACCTCTTGTCCAGCCTGTTGCCAAGCAGGGCACCATATCCATCCAAAATGTGGGCTGTGCAGTCAGGCTCCCCATTGAATTGGACATCCCAATGGTCTACAAGTTGGACCACATTAGGGATGCCCTTGACCCTCTCAAGGACATCCACTTCATGGTATCTCTTCACCTCAGCGACCCAACAATCTTTCATCATGTACTCCCCATCTACAGGATCCCGAACACGGTAGCAAGCCATTCCATGACAAAATAGACCCTGGCTCTTCCACAGAACAGCCATAATTGAGTACCTGTTATTAGAATTGTTAGTTACCCAACTGATCGCCCCCACTGCTAGGTTGGTGTGAGTACCCTTGCAAGAAGGGATGCACATATGGATTGTGGGGTTGAGATCCAAGAGACTCAGATCTCCTAACAAGAGAGCAGCTATTGCATCAGCAACACAAGAGGGTGAGGATTGGATGGGAGTCAGAAGAGTTATGATGAGGCCTGAGTGGTCGCAATAATGGGCATGAAGCTGTTCTGCACAGATAGAGAATGAGAGGATGAAGTGATGCCAGGGCTGTTCTTGCATGATGAGATATGATTTAGTGGCAGACCCCCAGTACACTCCTAAGTCATGCCTCTTGCTGAAGTCAGAGGTCATATGCTTGACAAAGCTCAGGACGTCTGTCCATGTTTTCTCATAATCTTTACTCTTGTAATAGAATAAAGCGATGTCAGGCTTTTGTGCATTGTAAGGGTCCAGTATTAGTGAGTTAGCAAACTCTGCAGACCAGTATCATTCAATGTTCAATATTTGGAAGGGAGGTTTGACTCGAATTTTTGAATTACAGCACAGGGCGTACTGAACAACTTTGAAGAGGCACTGCAAGTCTTTCTCAGTTGATGAGGGCTTACATCCCCTCTTTGATCCTGGTTCTGCAGTGCCATCATATTCATCACGACTCCAGGTGCCATCCATGTTCTGGGAGATTATCCCTGAACATTCAGAATCCAAGGCCTCAGCATCTGTGTCAACAATATCTGTGCTGGTACCAGATTCATCATCCAAGTTGCCTGACCCAGAGTTGTTGTTCTGATCAGTGAGTTTAGGCCTTTTTTTGTGATCGAAGTTCCACATTCCTTGAAGATATACCAGTGGTCCATTAGTTCGACCATAATATTTGATCTGTTCAATATGTCTGGTCTTCAATGAAGATTCAGGAACAAGTTGGTGGAAAAGGCTAGCATTATTCTTGATGTTCAGGTCAGCCTCGAAGATGACATAGCCTTTGAGCTCTGATCTAAGTAAGTCTTTGACAAGATCATAGGTGCAACCACCCTCGGGCAGGAAGCCTGTTGAGCTGAGTGAAGGGCCACAGAGATAAAGGTCAAACAATGTGGTGGGGTGTGACATTGGAGCAAGCAAGTGGGTTGAATGGGCATCTTGCTTTGGATTTGTCTGAGTCAATGCTACTACTACTAGTATGGAGTGATGAATACTGCAGACCAGTGCATTCTACAACAACAACTCACCTGTCTGTCTGAATAGTTATTAAGCAAGCGCTCCCTCCACTAGTGGACAGGGTGCAAGCAATGCAGGCAATGCATGGGCATTGGTTCCTCACCAATCACATTTCGGGGTTTCTCAGCACTGGTACATGTCAACTATGATATCACTAAGAAACAAAATGAGCAAACAGTAACTATCCTTGCAATGCATAGTACAGGCTATCATAAATTTGCTTATCAAAGTACTTATTCAAATAGAATGAGGAATGATAATGTGCAGAAGTAGACTTAGTCAACCTAGGATCCACTGCAGCACCAAGTTTTGGGATGATGCTGATGAATGCTTGAATTTGTGTTAGAGGAACGATATCTCCCACCAGAGTACCATTGACATGTTTTGTGCATGTCAATGTGTGCATTTTGGTGACAGGATCAACCACACCAATCTTGAAGCTGCGCACATAACAAAGATATCAATCACACCATGTAATATGTGAGCCTCGTCGAGGTATTGGGTGCATGATAAGTTGCAGTTCACAGACAGCATGACCTTCAAAAGAGGGGAAAGGTGTCAGTGGCAATCAAAATGTATACAATTACTAAAGAGCTCACCCATTAACCCTGGCTCAGGCCAATCATGCGCACTATTGACATTGAAAATGGCAACATCTTGTCGACCTTTTGGCCACCCAGGGTGTGCAGGAGATGCATGCATGGTTTGTGCAGGTAAAACAATACTTGGATCATGAAGACAAGCTTGCTGCAAGCAAACAGTATGCCATACTTGAACATGTTTGAAAGGAATATTCAGAGGGCAGTCAATCAGTGATCTTCTTGGAACCCCCACTCCAAAAACTCCATCTCCATTCCTCACATCACATTGAAAGAAGTCTGAGAGAGCATGCCACAGATCCAGGATGTTAAATTGATCAGAAACCTCGTCAATTTTCAAGCCAGTGTAGGTGGGGTTACAATTAAGATGAACAGCAGTGCTGCCAGGAAGGAATGTATGAGGAGGGTGAGCCTGAGGAATTCCATGCCTTGTAGCAGCCGACATTCTTATTTGCTGAAGTAGTTGGAAGTGGTATGCGTGTGATTCAGTTCCTCTAAGAGTGCAGTTCACAGATCCATCAGTTCATCATTCTCCCCATTTTCTTCCTTGTCCTTGTCCTTGTCCTCATCTCCTTCATCCTCACAGAGTTCTTCAAGATTTGGATCTGTGGGAGAGCTCTTGAGAGATGTAGCAATTGCAAAATGATGCAGTTTCTCTTCTCAATCTAAGTGACAACAGATCTGGGGATTGTAATCATTGTTGTGCTGGGTCCTTGATTTTGAAGATGTGTGCATATTCAGTTGTGTCTGCAGACCACTGGATGAGGGCACCAACTTGGCATGTGCTAGTGGTAATGCTCTGCATGAGCTCTAGCTTGGGTATGTGCCAATTGTCAATCACTCTCTTCACACCCATCCAAGTGCCTAGTGTCATGATAACATCTTTATTATCATGAAATAGTGTGAGTGATCTGTCAATAGATGTGAGTAAGTTGTTGTCAGGTTCAGGAGACTGCACCAAATATTGGATGTCCATTAAAGCACAAATTGCAATCACAAATCAATGGGGGGCTGCACCAGCGATCAGTCCAACAATGTAGCACTGTATGTACCTATCATGGCAAATGACATTTGAATGAGGTGAAACAGTGCTGGGAAGGAAACCCCACCAATTCTGCAAATATCTATGATGTGCTGTCATCAATCAAGCATAAAGCAAGTGCAGAGGGTGGAGATTGGACTCACTCAATGGCAATGACAAAGGACTATATGGATTGGGCATTCTGATGGTACCAGGCTGCATGTCTATTTGATATTGCACTGCAGATGGTTCAGAAGGTGATGCATGGTGCTCAGCCTTCAGATATTTGTCTAGGCTTAGAAATGAGGACAAAACTCACCTGCCATCTCGAGCAAATCACATTCACATCAAATGGATAGACATTATGGACCAGGTGCAATCCTGCTTGTTTGTGGTACTTGCACCAATCTGATTTGCTATATCTGTAGGTGTTTTGAGCTTGTCAAATTGCAATGAAAGGACATCTCACTTGATACTACTGTTTTGGATGGTGTGCTCAAGATGTACCTTGCAAATGAGATACTGATGTTGAGTAAGTGCACATTGAACTTTGAGATCTTTCTCACAAACTGGAAAGGATGGCAAAAGAAGGTAGACAAAGGCCAATGGGAAGCAGATTTGAGATGTGAGTTGCTTGAATTAAATTGGAGCTGATAGTGCATGACTTAACTTAATGACCCTACCAGCAAATCACTACAAGATATATCCATGTCCTGATACACCAGCATGTGACAGTTTCTTCTAGATGATGGTTTGGATCAAGTGGCTCAAATCATTTCATTATGGACACCCCCCCAGCCAAATGGCCTTCTCTTCCCTGCCATGAGTGCAAATGGTGTTGTGCATCCTGGACAGCCGATCTCTCATGATACCATACAAAAATGGATCAATGAGTCTACCACTGGCACTGGTATCCATGGTAACTTCTCTACTCACTGCTTTCATCAGGGAGGTACACAACATTGGTTCATGTTTGCTCCAGTAGGTCAATGATGGACACTTGCAAAAGTTTGTTGATGGGGTGGATGAGCTGATGGTGAGCATGTATGTTTCCTGTGTTTACAACTGATGGTTGACTGACACAGCTATTTTTTCCTTTGTTGTGTCTATTTTCAGTGTGATACACTTATTCAATACCTTCTCAACAAACTATATGCATATGAGACTTATTACAACAATGCCCTTGCCCCCATCTCCCATGATGCTGATGCTTCCCCTGCCGGTGAACATGCACTTACCAGACCAGCTTCCACAGAGGAGCTTCGCATGGTGTATGTATCTGTTGCAGCAGATGTCAATGGCCTGTGCAATGATATGCACTCCTTAACAAGTGTTGTAGTGCAGGCTGCCTGTACCACAGCTATTGCCCTCCAACACCTTGATTCCAGCCACTGCTTCACCAATGTCTGAGCCTGCCTCCCCCACAACAACTCCTCCACCTATTGGCACAGTTCAACAGCTGCTCTCACACAGACCTGCTATCAGCCCAATGGCTACTACAGCCCTGTCCACCTCCAACACATCACGACAGCCCTAAGTCCCTGCCACAGCATCCATTTCCCAGCAGAAACTCCCTACACCTAGTCTTGTAATCCCTCAGGTCCCAGTTGCTCATCCTGATGGCACTTCCAGCCCAAAGAATAAATCCTGGAAGGAGATCATTGAGCACTGGCTAGTTGGTGATTGGGACTGAGGACTCACAACACCATTGAAAGATTGGCCAAGGGAGTGGTACCAAGGCATGAATAGATGGTTTGCATCAAAGCACCACCAAAGGGCAACCATTGTGCTAGAATTTATCAATCAGTAAGTCTCTGCTGGTATCTGCTATTCCAGTACCATTCACCTTCTGTTTCAGTTCTAGGTATGAGTCAAATGAGGCATGCTTCCTCACAGCCTATCCAGAGGCTGAACTTGGACACACCCAACTCCTGAAGGCATGAACAAGGCACAGTGCATGAGGGGACCACATCTCTTGCGATAAATGACACTCCCATCAACACTGCAATTATTTTTAAACTTCAGCTGACTGTTTAGCATATTACTTACAACTCACTGTTGTTAATCATGTCCCAACTACCATATCACTTGCTATCATTAATTCATGAGCACTGTGCTCCTTTTTGTGCTCTGTTTTTCACTCAAAACTCATGCCATCACAGGAACCTGGTCATGTGCCAGCAAGGTCAGTGAATCCCGACTAAAAAAGGGAATTGATTGAAGTCATATGCGCTTGCATATTGTTTTGGCTGAGCACCACAATAAATTTCTTGATATAAATAATCAGTGGTGAATACGAATATTTTAAGATGGCACACAGATGTGTAACCTTGGGTGCACTGGCCAGAAAATCCCAAAAGACTCCAAAACTACAACACCTGCATGCAGAGTCTAGTCTGTACAGACCTCACACAGATTGGCTAATTCCCAGACTGACTCAGTTCTGCAGAAAGTGACTGTCTGATTATTTGTACATGGTCACTGACTCCGATAATATTGAACTTAGTACTGTGCTGTGTAAGTAACTTTTTCTGTGAATTTGATGATGATCTTGAATTCATCCAAGCCTTGACTCAACTTCAGCGACCTGGAACTTGTCTTTTGAGGCTTGCCAGTTTTGCCACTGTCGCGGATGATGGTTGCGCTAACATTGTTAGACATCACAACCACCATGATGATGAGGAGTCACATACTCAAGATAACTCAACTTTGACTCAACTTCAAGTTGTGCCACCACTTCATCAACATGAATCTAATTGATTACTCCAAATCCGATATGAGAGTCAAGTCATGGTGCACCACCTGAACCATGCCAGTGGTCAAACTTGTCCTAGATGAGTTCAGTCCCAGATATGGTGCATACACAAAGCTTGAAACAGAAGAGACACAACTTCAGATTCCTACAGCAGACAGCTTCCAACTGATATTCCTAACACAGATTGGACAACTTGATATGCTATGATTTGGGGCCAAAAGTTCACTAAAAAGTAAATGGACTAGTACTTCTCACCATTCTTCAAACTCCACTGACTAGTTTATGAACCTGCCAGGCAGCTGAAATTTGACTTCAAAGGAAGTAACCTCAAGCAATCATGCATAGTGTGTCACATGCTGCCTATTCCTCCAAGCTCTGTTGGAAAGTCTAGTCATGACCATGATAGCAGCAATGAACTTCGACCTACTTGGTTGCTCATCCAGACACCACCTAGCTCTCCACCTGAACTACCACAGAGTTACTGTGACAGCAATGACAGGATTCAAAAACATGGTGGCCATCCTACAATAGGACATTCCCAGCTCAAAGTACACTCCAAACATCATCGGTCACCCTCATCTGACAACACCTCTCCTGATTCAGAAAACAAGCTCTTTGCATTCCCGTGCATATCTCCCATAATGGACTGCCTGCCTAGCCTTGCAGAGTGTGCACAGAAAAGGTTTAGGCCTTTTGAGCAGTCCCATGGTTTGCTGCCTAATGCATTGAAACTCCAGTTTTCTCGAAGGTGTCTTGAATCTGGCAAGACTGATATGAGTCTAGCAGATATCCAAGAGGTATGTGAGTCTAACATGTGCCATTTTACAAATATTGACAAGCATTTAATATCAGGGCAAAGACATCCTCATGCAGTGCCTGAAACTCATGCCCAAGAATATCATCAGTCAAGCTCTCATTGCAAAGGAAGCTGATTGCAAATACAAGTGTTTGTGTACTCTGGCAATGGCTTGGGTGGCTGAGGTGAGGGCCCAAGACAAGCAACTTCATGAAATGCTTATCAAAGAGGAATTTGCAAAATATGCTGTTAGCATCACAGAGACTTCCATTCTCTGGAGGGTCTTGGTTGGATGTAGTGTGGAGGAGCTTGATGCTGATGCAGACTTCTGCATTGGTGCATACAGTCACAATTTTTGGTCGTTTTCTGTTGCCAACTCCACCCTCAATCAGATTGAGGATGCTGCTTCGTGTCTTTCTGAGTCCAAAGAGAAATCTCATGCTGACTCAGCTTCCTCTGACTTTGACATTGATGATTGAGGTGAGGCAATTTTTAACATACTGGTCTTTCAAATTGTAATACTGATCATGATAAAGTAGAAGTTGTTCATTGATACTTTCTTGTGTGACGATGATTCTGTTGACTGTTGTAAATATGCACCGTCATCTGGCAGATGATCTCCATGAGTTGGTCACAGGTCTTGATCTTGTACTATGCCAGAAGTATAGCCTTTAGATGATTGACTCTAAAATGCATGTATCTTTTATTTTTGGACTGTTGGGAAAGTGGCAATTTAAATGATACCATGGAGAAGTGTAGTAGCCTTAACCAAGCTTGAACATCAGTTGAAAAAGTGAGTCAAGAAGCCTCAACTACCAGTACTTGCCAAACTCCCAGAGGACACAGTGTAGAGAATGAGATCCCTCTAGGTGTAGATTGCCCATATTACGACTCACGATGATAGGTACAGTGTGGAACTCACTATCTATGACTGTCCCACAAAACGCGCCAGAGGTGCGACACATTCCTGCACATGCACTTAGCACACTCTTCCCATGCTTTGTTGCACTTTGTTGCACAGCATCCTGGAGCATCCATCCATCATCCAACCAGTTCCCTAGTGAGTCCCTTTTATTTATTTTCATTATCAGACCATATTTAGCATTATATGACACTATGTTTCATCATGGACCCTTTATTTACCTTACTTACATACATAGAGCACTCCTGATTCGCTTCTGAGCCCTGGGAGCGTGCCTAGGCACAGCTTACCTGTTGCCTAGGAAGTTTTTCATATACCTACCACCACCACAGATACATAAACCACCATCATGTCAGTAGTGGTCTAGTAGTCAGAATCCATCACCATGAGTTAGCATCTATCAGAGTTGTTGCCCTAGTCTTCAGCAGCAGCCTATCATCATCTTTTACATGTTCGCGCACTGTGTGCACCTTATTCCCATGCTTCACACTCCTACACACTCCCAGTGCGCTTCACCAGAGTTGACCTGGTATCACTTCATGGATCTTGCTTTCTTTGCTTCCCCTAAGGGTCGAACGTATCACCTGGCACACTTCAACCAACAATTTAGAGAGTCAGAGCCCTCTTTCTTTCTTTAGCTCTGCAGCCTAGCAGAGCTGTTGAACATTCAACAGTCCTGGTAGTTGTCATGTTCTACTCTTGGTACTTTTATGGTGACTGATTCAGTAGTAGTGACCAGTACAATGTGACTACTAGTGATGGTAAGCAGTACTTTTTATGAGGACTACTAGTACAGTCACAGCAGCTGAAGTTGAATGCACAACAAGCTTCTATGGCTTGTTCTCAATCTATCATTCATTGTATATTTGATGATATCATGCAGTGCTCCAGGTTGCTCCTGGGAAAGAGCAACTGACAGTCGGGGACTTACTAGGCATTGTTTAACATGCAAATTCTACCAGCGGTTGAGCGTTGTCAACAGCAAGAAAAGACAGGAGAGGGTGAAAGATGCAGCTAGAACTCTGACACAACAATTGGCCACAGAATCAGGTTCAGCTGCACCTAGTTCACATTCAGTGAGTCTCTGAGTCTGCATTTTATGTTCTTGATGCTGTAGAAATTCAATACTAACAACAATTTCAAAATTCTAGAAAATCTTGCCCATTAGCAAGCATGCCATTGGGAGTGGTCACTTAAAACCTATTGTTCTGTGCAGAGTTTCATCAAGCAGGTACCAGACTCAGATCAAGGCAACTGGCATGTCTATCGGCTCAAGTGACTCAGAGCACTTCCAACAATGGCCTGTGTCAGAGCAGCTGCTGCCCTGATTTTATACTGATAGTAGTTTTAACAATACAGTTGATTCCAATGTTCATGGTATATCTGAGTTAGCACCCCCACTGGTTGACTGACAACTCACTTGTTCTGCTCTTTGCTCATTAGAAGATTCTTTGCACCCTCCGAGTCTGACTTGACAAATACCTAGACATTTTGAGGATGTTACTCTTTCTGACAGGGACATGGATAATGCTTCTGAGCATTCTCAAAATCCAGCCCCACCTCAATCTAGAATCAGGAGAGTTCTATTGATGCTACAAGATACCCTTCAGACAACCTTTAATTCTCTAGGACTTTGTCGACTATACCCTTGTTGCCTGTCCTTCAAGCTGGACCAATTTGTCCTGTCCTCACTACTTTCAAACACTTGTCCAATGGCTCTGCCACTGGAGACTGATCCAGACATCCTCCCACCTCCATATCCATTTCCAAATATGACAATCTATTGACTGATGTGTTGGATGAATTCTGGTAGCAATAAAAAATCCGAGGTTGAAGTTACTTGCCTCATCAAAGAAGTGATGCTGGCGGAAGATTTCAACTCAAAGCACTTGGATAACTTCTCAGTGTGGAGGAGTTTGCAGGAATTAGCCAACAACCCCAGCAGGAGGAAGATCAAGTTTCTGGATGATTGGAAACAGGCCAGTGTCACCATTAAGATTCCCACCAAATGGAAGGATGATGATGCAAGACCATTTTCTGTCCCTGGATTCCATTTTCGCCCCCTCATCAAAGTAATTCAGTCAGCTTTCACAGACATACAGGTGAGTGCATCTCACCTTTCGCCTTTCAAGTGTCTGTGGAAGGATCTGTTGGATAACCATGAAGAGCAAGTATTTGACAAGTTGTATACCTCTGACTCTTGGCTGGATGCCCAAGACCAGGTGCAGAAGCTCCCAAGGGAGCCCAGATGTACACTGGAATGGGTGGTTGCTGGTCTTATGTTTTTTTTCAGATGCCACACATCTTGTGAACTTCAGAATGGCGAAGGCCTGGCCCCTCTACATGTACTTTGGAAATCTGACAAAGTACACTTGTTCTGCACCTAAGTCCAGTGCATGTCACCTTGTGGGTTTCTTACCATCAGTAAGTTCTCCTACTGTACTATCAAGAATCGCTCTTAACACTGTCTATCAGCTTCCTGACAATGTTCTGAGCAGCCTTCCTTGCATATCCAAAAGTGGCATGGCTGCCCTTCACACCCACTGCTGGCATGAATTATTTCATGCATGCTGGGATACTTTGCTTGATCAAGACTTTCTTTATGTGTACCATCATGGTATCATCCTCAAATGTGCTGATGGTGTGTTACGCAGAATATTTCCTCATATATTTACATACTTGGCCAATTATCCTAAAAAGTGGGTGCTTTCTGTGAATATGGGCAAGGTACTCAACAAGTTTCAGGGTTTTGATCACCACTATCAAAGACATGGGTTCATGCCCATGTCCACATTGTCTCATGCCAAAAAGTATGTTCCCTTCACTAGGCCTCCTTCAAGATATGAAGAACCATATAAACAACCTTCAAGTCTACATCTTGACTAATATTATCAGGGCATGAGAGTATATATATAAGTTGGGAAATACTGTGGATGGTGTGAAAGTTGAGGAGATGCTGGGAGAGGGCTTCTGGGTGCCTATTCTAGTAAGCGTGAATTGTCCACTGTTCTCCCATACCGGCTTAGACGAGCAACTCACAAAACATTTTTGCTGAGAAGTTGGGAGCACTGGGCCTTGATCCATTTTGAATGCTTGTTGTAGATTTTATGCATGAGTGTGAGTTGGGCACCTGGAAGGTGCTATTCATGCACCTCATCAGGATCCTTTATTCACTTCTGGGGGGGAATCAACTGGTGGCAACCCTAGATGCAAGGTAGGTAAAGTTGGGACAGTCTCTCCACATAATAAACTCTATTTGATCATAGGTTTGATCAGGTTCTGACCTTCAGTAATGGGGCGATTCGAATGTTTGCAAACAACACATCTGAGATGAAGAGACTGGCAGCACAGGACTTTGAAGACATATTACAGGTTTGTTTTTACTTGACTCGACTGTTCTCTACTTAACTTGCTGATGGCCTTTTTCCAGTGTGCAATACCTGTGTTTGAAGGCTTGTTTCCTGATAGCCATGATATGATTGTGCAGTCTCTTCTATACAGATTCACTCAGTGGCATGCACTCACAAAGCTATGAATTCATACAGAGTCAAGTCTGGGTTTCCTCGAGGAGGTGTTCACAATTCTCTCTAAGCAGTTGTGGAAATTTCATGACTTCACCTGTGCTGCCTTTGAGACTGTGGAATTGCCGAAAGAGAAGGCAGCTTGCCAACAAAGGTTTGCCCAGCATGCTGGACCTAATGATGGTTCTTCAGAATCTAGGGGACCCAGACTGAAAAAGTTTAATTTTAGCACCTACAAGTTTCATGCAATGGGTGATTATGTACGAACCATCAAGCTCTTTGGTACAATGGACTCTTTTACCACTCAGATTGTAAGCATTCTCTCTCCCCTCAATGTTGGTTCTGAAGTTGTATTATTGGCTAGGGGGAGTTGGCACACAGAGCATTAAAGGCATTCTATCCCCTAACTTGCAAGCTAGACTCTCTGGCACAACTAGCAAAGCATGAACAGAGATGCCATGTACTATGGTGAGTTGCAGAATCAGCAGGTATCTCTTCCTCGATCAACAAATCACTGGTCAACTCTCCTGCTTCAACATTGTCCAAAGACCCTTACTTTATTGCAACCAATCAAAATGATCTGGTCTCTTTGTTCAAATTCCTCAGAGAACACAATGGCGATCCAGCTACCAAGGTAATTTTTTGGCCCAGTTCGCCCACCAGGTACCTTATGACAGCTTTCAGAACTTTATTTTGAAACTGAAGGATCACATCTTATATTGGCTGAAGAAGTTGGATGTCAGTCATTGTGACTATACATTTTCAGACAAGGAACACAATTCAGTCATCATTCCTAACTATATGGTCTATGTGGTCAACACCATGCAGGTACACTACACAACCTACTACATGAGGTGTGAATATGATACCATTAACCCCAAAACCAACACAGATATTATGGTGCTCTCAGGGGAAACCTCACCTAGCCACCCATATTGGTATGCTCATGTACTGGGTATTTACCAGTTAGACACATGGATCGAAGGTAGTCAAACTGAGAAACACCACCTCACATTCCTCCATGTCAGGTGGCTTACACCATTGATATCATCAGATCATTGGTCAGGCATATGGTGTGCTTGCCTGCCCAAAGTGGCCTTTGTAGAAGAGTTGGACTATGACACATTTGGATTCTTCAATCCAGGTCAAGTGATTCAAGGAACTCATTTGATTCCTGCATTCATTTCAGGCCGTGGCATAACTTCACTATGCCATGGAAATTCATTAGCATGAGCCAAGGATGAACTAGATGACTGGGAAGAGTTTTATGTCAGAATGTGAGTGGAGCATGTCCTGTGGCTTAACAACTCTGATTTGTCGGAGCTAGTTTTGTTGATCGCAATATGTTCATACATTACACTGACTTAGGCATAGGGCACCCAGTAGCCTTGAGGAGGATAGTTAGAGACTGTTCTACCCTCAAGTCAGTGACAACACCAGTGGAAGATGATAGTATGGATATCAACTTAGATGATACCAGAAGCCATGATGAAGGCAGCCACAAAGAAGATGACAATGAACAACAGATAGATGTTGATCTTCAACCTGACTCAAAAGGTAAGGACATGCAGTCCGAATCAGAAGATGAATATGATCATGACTGTGACAGTATTGAGGGAGGGGGGTGGGGTGAGCCAGTACCTGCAGTTGAGTCACAGTTGGATGATGATTTGGACTCCTCAGATGATGACCTCTCTTTTTGAGATGATCATTAGTACTCATGATCATGTCAAACTATACCATCAATGCTGTGACTCGGACTATCCAACTTGAATGATTAATTGATTACCATTAACATTGGGCCAGCCTGTCATTCATCTGTGCAATGTCCACAAGCAACAACTTGGTTTCTCTTGACCAGTGTAAGACTTTCAACATTCCCCAAGTCTGAAGTTGCCTTATGCAGACACTTCCCTGCACCATGACAATGGATGTGTGATGTAGCCAATGACCTGACTTGGAGGCTGACTCTCTGAGTCAGGCATACTACAGCAACACACTCATGTATCTCCAACTTGGTTCCCATCAGTCTGACATGTCTCTGGTAAGTTCAGATATTCATGTGTTCCCCAGATATCATGATAAGTTCAAATTACCATCAAAGGCTGACACTTGGCAATGTGATGGTCACACACCATCAGTGAACTGGTGAACAGGTGAGAAACTTTGTTAAGCAGAGTCATGGCCTGCACTGAACTTGACAGCAATTGGACTCAAGTTGAAGTTGTTTATGCAAGATATTGCCCTCTCTGGTCCAACATTTATCACTTTGGTGACACTTTGCAGTGCCAGTCTTCTATATTGAATAGATGATCTGTGAGGGTGAAAACTAGACTGTCAAACTTAGTAGGTGGCAACATTGGCAGGCTGGGTTCAAAGCAAAAGACAGCCCTTTTGCAGGTGCATCATACAGATATTATGAAGTGTCTGCATCGACAAAATCACAACACACTTTAGACACTCCCTGATCACCAAGTGACTATGTCACAAGTTCTTCACCCAGCAGTTACCTTTCCTCTCAGACCCTCCACAAGACCCACATACCTGCCCTTTGGTATAATTCGCACATCAGTCTCATGCAGTAGGCAATTGTTAAGGTCATACTCAAGGGCTAACAGATCCTAAGGGCTTTGGCCTCAGCTTGTGTGCTGTGCCCCTTACCCAAGTATTGCCCCTGATTTCAGAAGGGCAAGACTAATGCATCCGGAGGGTCAGACGAGTAGCGTAGTGGATCTGGATAACTTCTGGATGTGGGATAAGTATTGTAGGGCTAATCCGGATGAGTCCAGACTAGAAACTAATGGTAGTGGACTGTCATAGACAGAGGTGAATATGGATAGACTATAGGAATCAATCCTAAGTCTTGGAGGGTGACGAGAGTGGAGGTACTCAAGTCCGGGGGACAGGAATGAGTAGAACTAAGATGATATTTGAACTGAGGTGTTACAGAGATTTACAGGAGGTTATATACTATAGGTATTTAACAGAATGATCAATCAGCAGGGTCCAAGGCTATGTATGAAGCATATGGATAGTCTATTGGTAAGTTGAAATGGATCACAAATAATGAAACAGAAATGAAGCATAGGTAACAGATCAGTGAGCAGGATGGATATACCGATAACCAAAATGCCAGAGTTAGGGGATTACTGAAAGGAGACGAACACTGGTTGTGGATTTGGATGAATTGTGGACCAGACCAGACAAGTGGACAGATTGGATGACGAGATGTTGGAGGGGGATAAGATGTGGATTGGATCTGAGATCTGGATATGCGGATATGACAGCAATGCCTTTAATCAGAGCTCCTTGTAGTACTCACTGAACCTTTGAGTGAGTGATTGAAGTTAGATTCAAGGAGCGCAAATTGTCATTACTGTACTTTAGTATCTAGCTGGCCTCAATGTCAGGGCCCACACAATTTTGTTGAATGTTCTTCGGTCACTGCATTAATCTTGCAGTCCATGATAAATTATGGGCCTCAGGATGTGATACCCCATTGCTGACTGGATTTCAAACATTGCTCTAGTGATGGGCAAAACTATCCTGACAGGTATAAAAGATAGAATAATGTCTAAGCATGCTGATCATCATGCAAAAGAAGATGAGCACACTCAGTCATATCTGCAGGTGGCCAGTGGTTGACATAAAGCACTTGCGCAAGACACATGATGAAACAACAGATGTCCCATCTGATTTCTTGTAGTATGGTGAAGTGGGGTGTAGTATCAACATTAACAGGTTTGTTGATATTGGCTACTCATGACCATGAATGCTAACCATACTATGCAGGAATCACACAGAAGTACTTGTTCTCATTTTTTGTCATTGTCTTATGATCATTCAACCCAAGTTATACCAGGGTTCTTCTCACCCATTTACTTCTTGGTTTTTCCAAAGCACCCTTTTCCCTGGTACCATGTTTCTTATATCAGGATGCTACTACAAGCGATGCAAGCTTGCTGTAGAACAACTCTCATTACTTGTGGAGGCATGCTCAGCACTAGGTTCAAATCCCTGTTTACATCTGGTATACTTACTACAGGCATGTAGAGAAAACTTGGACAAGCCTCATGGGAGTGAGAAATGTTTGTCTCTGCCATTAGCTGAAGCTGACATAGTATCTGAAGGCAGTTATTTTACACCAAAGGCAGTGTCACCATCATAGTCATGATTTGTGTGATGTTTATACTCCCTAGTTTCCCTTACAACACCAGATGGCTCACTCCAGAGGTAAGGTTACTCACTATTGCTTGCCTTGCAGATGATGGCTATGGGAGAATGGATGGGCCTTGGAAATGGACAACCATGCAAGGACTATGGGATGTGGCTTTGTCCAACTGGAAGGTATGGTGGTTTACAGTTGCATTCATGGTCGATCTTATCATGCTATCATGACTTCCTGACGATCATCACAACTACAGATATGATATGATGGTGACATTGCTGCTCATCACTCCTCCATCAGCTTGTATGGGTGCTTTTACTCTTTCAAGGTTAGTAAACTAATTTTTTTCTATCTCAAATCCTCATGGACAATCAGGTACTCTAACCATACACTAAAGCATTGCATGTTCATTCTTGTGTTGAATGCATTGGCTGCCCTTGGATTCACTATATCCATCTGTATGATGAACAGGGTTGCGCATTATGTTTCCATGTAAGCGGTATCATCACCCAATAGAGTGATGCCTTGTGTACTCAAGAGACATATCACAGGTTTCTGGTGGATCAAAGCACTGCTGGATGAATGGTGCTCTGGCCATAGATAAAAAAAAACCTTTGCTGGAGAACCTGGAAAGAGACTCAGACTTGTTACTATCGCTGTGATTAGTGGAATGTCGGTGGTGGGGAACATTGCCAGATCATTAGTGCCACTGATCTCTTGCTCTTGCTGATTATTTACAATCTCTCATAGTAGGTTCATCTCTGCTTCACAGCACTTGGGGTGAGTAACCCCCAAAGTACTTATAGGCACAACTACTGCTCATCCTGCTGATTATCATGGATGTCAGAAATCCCCACAAGGATAAAACCATGATGTAACTTTGCACTGCTTTGTGGTAAATTACAATATTTGCTATGTGGACCTGAATGCTTCATGTGGCAACTCTTTCCTCCACTTTCTAATGATCATACTACATCTTGTTGTACATTGGCTGTTGATTGTAGTATAGAAAATTTAGCATTTTCCTTGAGAAAAAATGACTAATTTTTGAATTATGTTCTATGTACAGAAAATCTTTGATACATCAATTTTTTTTTCAATGTTTTCACAGGTAATATACAGGGAATTTTCTATCTTCTAATTCAATGTTTTTTGGATGTTTTTTGGAGGAAAATGAGTAAATGCCCACAGTAACTACACATCTCACTGATTTGAGCCTTCACTGTTTTGATAAAAGTCAGATATGGTGAGTGTTGTTGCCAAGCCTGTCACATACTACACCCCTAGAATGGTCAACTCAATTCCTTCTGCTCATCAGCGCACCTGTGTGCAAACTGCAGCTTTTCTCCTTGGTGTTCATCCAGAACCACCAAATGTCGACAAAGAGGAGGCCAGCAGCATGTGTGCAGTTCAGCATTTCTATGGGGGGACGAATCAAGAGTTGTTTACTGCACAATGGGACAATGGTCAACTTGAAAAAAGTGAGCAAAGTCCATTTCACTCAGGCCTGATGGGATGCTCATGTAAGTCACACCAGTTGAGTTCAGAGTTCCTCTCCATACCACAAATAGAGATAAATGGACCACATATGTGGGCCAGTTCTACTCTGAGTCAGATTGCCATCTCGATATGTTTGACGCCATCAAGGCCACAATGGATGTACCCAAGAAGTTTCAACACTTGGGCTGGTGCCTGTCTACTGCCTGCCACATGGACCCACCTCACTGGTTTTTAATGTCACTTGACATTGATAGCACTTTCAAAGCTGTGAGGGTGGAACAAAGTTCCAGCAGGAACAAGAAGGTAGTTACTATCGAAGTTGTCAATACTGTGCATTTTTTGGTTATGAGTTGTCAGCACAACATGATAGTACTAACTTTTTGCAGGATCCTGTACTAAAAGACTTCAAGCAAACCAAATGAAAGGCAGATGTGTCTTCTTCAGGCAAGCAGAGCCCATCATCGCTTGTGTCATACCCAAACAAGTTGGAGAAAGTCAAGAGTAAGTTATGCTGCTCTGACCATCAATTTGGAGAGAACATGTTCTGTTAGGTGAATTCATTGCTGCCAAACGCTCCACACTACCCACTGTGTACCCAGGACCTACAGGAGTGGGCTAGCTATTTGGTTTGTGATACTTATTTGCTACAGGGTATGACAGGATGCTCATGAATTACAGCTCAAAACTGGAGATCCAGACAACTCCTGTGTCACTCTTCTCAGCACACCTCACTTCAATGAAGTTTGAAAGACACATAAGGAGCGAACTATGTTGCCACTCCAGAGGGTGCCCACCAAAATGATACCACCAATCATTCATAATCATGTTCACCTGTCATCCTCTTCCAATGACATCTCTGATGGAATACTTGCTAGAGAATGGGGAGAAAGCCACATGACTCCTCAACCATTCAAGAGGTCATTTGCACTCTACATGGACAGTGATGAAGAGTCTGACAATGAGGAACCACTGCAGCATATCAAGGACATCCTTAACAATGTCCACTTGCACTACCCTGCCATGAACTTCCCTTAATATGCCGATAAACTGAAGGATCGTGGCATCTTGTATCTGCCAACCACAGCTCATTTTGGTATTAGATTCTACAAGGAGAAAGTTGGGATGCCAGAGGGTGCTGCATATACCTTTCAGAGTTGTGTTTCTGAAACTCACATGAAGGCAGAACTTGTGAAACAGAGAAGGAGAGCTAAAGGGAAGAAGAAAGCACAAGCCCAGTCTGACGGTGAAGATGAAGAGAACATCTGTCCCAGCTTCTGATCAAAGTGCAGTTAATAGGCTGATAGTTATTATCTTACTTTGTGTTATTCAAAATCTCATAATATTCCATGGCTTTCAGGTTGTAACATTGTTTTTTACTTTCTGGTGTTGTAGTATGTGACGAGGCCTTAAATATGACATGCCACTGGTTCAGACAAGAAATGAATATGGATGTGAATAGCCAATAAAGTCCATTGTGAGTTACAAGTCAATCTATGACCATTTGTGCTTCAGCTTTGAACAAATTCTCTGACTCTGGACTGCATCTACATATACTATCATGCTCTTAGCATCCAGGAGATGGTACGCTTCATTCATCTCCTTACTTTATTACTCTGATCACTCTTTCTAGATTTAATCCCAAGTCTGACACGCCCATCTACCTCTCCGACTTGCCCAGCTCAACAACCCTCTCTAGCAATCTCATAGAGCAAGACATTTCACCTACTGCCATCATCACCAATCACGTTTTGGCATCATTGGAACTTGACAGCCTCAGACATCATAAACTTCAAATACCTCTCTAAATTGGCAGTAGATCTTAATCATCCTTGCATATTGGCTGAACTCCAAGGGCTGGGCAGAATTCCTTGGGAGTCATGTCCCAGACCCATTGGAGGTCATCCTGGAGGTTAAGCCTGTCATACTACTTGCTGTGCATATCATGTTCTTTCGCTTGCATCTCACTCACACCTCCCCAGACACTCTGAAGAAATCTTGAACTTGAACAAAAACAGGAATGTAATACCTGCATAGACTCAGGAAGAAGTTCCCTTCAACCTCAATGACTTCTGCAGCCACTTTGCTCAGGTTACCCTTGCACAACACATCATCTCAGCAGGCCTGGCTTCCTGACAGAAACTCTTAGAAAAGTTATTTTATGACATTGCAGTAGAGTGTCTCTGTCATGAAGCCAAACTTTCAATGAGCTAGGTTTGGACAACCGCAGACTTCATTGTGCAGATTTGCAAAAGTAGATGTGGACTGACACCAGAAGCTTAAGAAGCATGTTGAGGCAGAAATACAAGAGATTATCAGTGCAGAGACAACTTGCAATCTGTAAGCATACTATATGTGTCTTGAGTCACACATTTATATTAACTACCAGCTAGGTGAAAACAAGCACAGCCTCTAGTGTCCATGTGTTAAGGTCGTGTGCTCAAGGGGGTCGGATCACAAGGGCTTGGCCTCAGCTCATATGCTGTGCCCCTTTCCCAAGTATGTGCCCTTAATTTCTGGGGGCTAGAACAGTTGTCTGGAGTTTCTGGGATTTGACTAGGGTGGATAATGGATGTCTGGATCTGAAATGTGAGATAAATCCAATGGACGTCCAGATGTTACCTGGGCAAGTGGATAAGGCTAGTCTGGACAAAGTCTGGACTAGAAACTAACAGAGGATGGACTACCTTTAAGGTAGAGTCGGAAATGTAGTCTAGGATGCAATCCTAAGACTTCAGAATATGACAAGAGACTTATCTCAAGTCCGGAGGACACAGGAATGAGCAGGAACTAAGATGATATTTGAACTGGAGTATTTCTGGGAGTTCCAGGAGGTTTATATACTGTAGGTATCATATAGGAATCAGTCAGCAAACATAAAGGCTATGTACGAAGCATATGCAGAGTCTATTAGTAAGTAGGATCGATCACAAATAATGAACACTGGAAATGAAATGTATGTAACAGATCAATAATCAAAAGGGAAACATGGTTAACTGGAGTCCAGAGACAGGGGCAGTCTAAATGGGGTTGGGCGCTGATATAGGGTTTGGATTCCGGAAGGGAGATAAAGATAGATCAGATCATTTGAGATCTGGATCTCGGATCCAGATATCCAGAGAAGTGGATTTAGAGTTGAGAGTCCAGAATGGCATATGACACCATGCTGCTTTGCAGGATATCAAGGATCTCTTCCTTGATGCTGCCACTGATGAAAGGAGCATTCTGAATGCTCATGAACAACAGCCACAGTCTCCCCATGCCATCTTGGCTACCCACCTGGAGTTGAGAAATATCCCCATAGGTCCATTAGATCAGCCTGGCAAGCTTAGGACCTATCAAATCTATAAGACCCTCACTGCCCACCTGCAGTCACTACTCTACAAACCACAGATGATGAAGACCCTGGACAAAGACAACAAGGTGCCACAGTGTCCTCTGGTGGGTGAAATGTCCTCCATTCTATCACTCCTAGTTGACACACCTCTCAGCCAAATCTGAGCCCTTCTCTCCACTCCAAACCCAACACAGATACAAATGTAGATGGTGAAGGTGATGTGGATGTAGATGCAGAGTTGAGAGAAGCAGCTGCTGACCACCACAGTGCATTTCCAACAGGCATGAAGAAGCTGTGTTGCTATTCCTTGTCTCTAGTAGATCTCTTGTTATTTTGACATTATCATCAATCCAGTCGAATCTCTTTCTATCACCTATTGCAAATCATCCAATCGGATTACACCACAACCCAATGATATGTTTTTGTCCATGCTCATCTCATTGTTTACAACCATTGCCCCCATCCTCTTTCAAAGTTTGTATTTCATTTTTTTCTATCTGTATCAACTCAAGTAGTTTGTGTCAAGTTGATCAGTCCATGTCACCAAAGGGCACTTCATATGGTAAGGTTTTGAATAGCATTTCAGATCAAAACATAAATTAGGCAAAACCAGAATGATCAACGAAATTGAGAGGGGTGCAATACTGAGCCTTGCCTCCTGCAATGCCAGTATGTTAGATTTTTGATATGAAATGTAATACCACTCTAGATCTGTTGACAAGTGCCAAAGGCACCACCCATGGGAAGGCCTTAGATCATCATTGAATTCCAAACATACATGACAAAAAATGAGAGCATACAAGAGGTATGAGAGGAGTGCGCTGTTGTCCTATGTTGGTCTTCATTGCCACAGGTCATGATTTTGTTACAAAGTCACACACTATTCTACATCTGTTGACAAGTGCTAAAGGCACTTCCCATGAGAATGTCTTGGATGAGGTTATAATGCAAAGCAAAAGTAAGACCAAATGACAATGCTCAAAATGATCACCACCAGTATGCTACTGCCCCTCATCAGGTGCAATGCAGTAATGTCATCACATTGTTGTGCACTGCTCATGTTACTCTGAATTTGCAGGCATTGATGGCTATGTATCTACAACTCAGATTTTTAACAGTATAAATAATCATATTTTGCAGGAGCAGAATTATATCCTTCTACAGTTTGCATGGCTACAATATCAAGGTCTCATCAATTCACTGATGTTCACTGTCAAAACTATTACATGAAAGCAAACAGATTCTGACTCATGTTCTACCCATGTGCAAGCACATATATTAATGACTACTATCCCTGCTCTTCATTCCCAGGCTATCTGTCACTTCATGGGGGCCTTCTTGCTCTCTGTCACATCTGCCTTGGTTATCAGGTTTTCATATCATAAGGTTTACCAACACTGATGGGTGCAGAATCTTCAATCTGCATCATGGACATCAGTTTGTCATCAGTTTGCACTTGATTTGCACAGCCTACTTGAGAATCCCTGATTGAGAATGCATTGCAAATGACATTCAATCTAGATCCAAACTGCATCACCAAAATTCACTTAGCCTGATATGATTATACCCTTTCAACCAGCCATGACATACCCTGACAGTCAGATGATTGTATTGGTCTATCAGGCACATGTGATGACAATATCATTCTTTGACCATATTCTCCTTCCATGGAGCACTTGATATGACCAACTTTGTCAGGATTTCGACCACTCTCAGTCTCTATTGGACATGCAATAACTTGTCAAGTTCTGAATGTTCTACATCATGCATCTACATAAGACACAAATCAAACTATACAATGTTTTGTTTTTTACTTTCTTTGCGATGAACCATTATCATCTGCTGTCAGATTTATAGCTTCTACAATGTTCCATCAAGGACTCGGAAAAAGTCAAGCATCACTGGCCCTCTGGCCTCATCACAAAACATCCAACTGAGACACATCAGCAAAACCCTGATTTGGGTACAGCACCACAGCCACACAGCATGTCACAGGTCATATAGATTTTGTTGTAAAGGCTTTGCAGCACCACACAGGTATGTAAAAATGAGTGTAATGTAGTCATAAACATGTATATAACAAGATGATGTGCTAATAATTATGTTTTATTGAGAGATTGTGTAGTGTGCAGCACTGTACAGCACTGTACATGGGGGGACCTTGCTGTGACAATGTGATTGCTGTGCAGCATTGTGCAGTGCTGCACATATGGTTAGGGTTTTGCTAATGCATACTAGCATTGGTAGTCTGTGCATATCCTGTCAATCCCCTGCAAGGTATGCACCAACAACTTCTGGTGTCAGACCACTGACTTGAATTTTGTACAGCTCCATCACACATACCATTTAATGTAGCCACTCTTCAGCTTTTTTCCCTTGTTCTCATCCATGGCAAAGGTTGGGGCTATACTTAATTTAGTAGTTGCACTGATGAATTGGTCAGTAGTAGCAGTCCTGTATTTGGCTTTCATTCAAAGTCAATTGATATGGTCTGTGTTATTTTAGTCTCTTGTCCTAAATTGACATTCTAAGTGAAACTAGGCAACTGCATGGGTGAACCCACAGGTGCCAGAAGACATACCTGGACCCACAAGGGGGGTATTGGGTATCACAGTGGGTAGAGTGTATAGACACCTGGAGTACTACCCATGGAAGGTATACCTGCAGGTCTCACATAGAAATCCCTACAGTAGGAACAAAAATGAAACAATGTATTCTACAACACAATAGCATCCCACTCATCCTCCATAAGCATCTCATCACCTTGAACATCAGCAAGAGCAGCAATAGATTGCACATCCTCTGTCTTGACAAGGCCAAGCTGGCTCCAATAGCTAAGACATAGGATCACTCACATTGTCTGGGCAGAGAGTTGTGAACAGACATGAGAGAGTGGGAGGTGACCACAGCTAAACAGCCATTCAACATCAACAGATGTTGCTGTAAAGGAAAATAAATTATGAGCAGTAGCAAGAAAAAAAACACACCTGGAATTGTGAGATAATCTAGCGCCATTCATGAAAGATGAGGGTAGAGTGTGCAACATTCATTCCACCATGCAAGTGCATTGTCAACATGTTCAACATCAGTGCTGAGATAGCAATCAAGTTCATCCTGTAGGTCACTGTTTACTGGTGGGGCGAGTGCAGGAATGTGATCAAAGATATTCTATACAAGACAGTCAGTAAGCGTGTAATACTAGAATAAATAATTTGACTTACAGTTGAGGACACCACAATGCTGGTGTCAGAATTATATCCCACATCATCCATCTCCCTGTTAGCATTGTCAGTCAAGTATGAGTGGTTGAACTCTGCATGCACTAGTGTATGTGCCAACTCAATCCAACCTTCCTCCCATTTTGTGTGTTGGAAATAAGCTAATTTGTGATGTGGATGGAAAACTATAATATATGTTAGTTGGTAGGTACTGAAAATAAATACAATTGGACTCACTCATTGTGATGTGGTAGACATCAGATCTGTCAGTGAGCTCATAGTAATGATTTAGAGTTTTCTTCACAAGTCATGAAGCAGTGCAAATTGATAGAAGCAGTTGTTTGTTGAGCATGTGAGTTGCGAGTGTCTTGTCAATGAGATCCATTGCTGGGATCACTATCACGAGGCTTGGTGTTGAGCATGAAAAAAACATGGTAGCATCTTAGAGGATCTAAATTACATTAGTGAAATCAAACAACTCCATGCAGTGTGCATGATGCCAGCCTCACCTTCAACACATTGTGGAGTTGCTCAACTATACTCCATTCATCATCACTCAACTCAAACACCCTCAATCCCAATTCATGTCTCTGTGACACTGCATCTATCACCTTGTGATGGTTCAGTGCATATACCAACATGTCATATGTGGAATTCCAGTGTGTCAACACATCTCTCAGCAACATGCTAGGCTTCATCTGCAACTCACTCAAGGTGTTGTTCCAGGCAGGGAGAAGCTTTGTGATGGAGTGGATGATTTTGAATCTGAGTTTGCAAAGCTATTCAATGTGCGGTCAGCTGTGAGTTTCTTTATATTGTTGTGATAAATGCACCTTCACTAGTGCTAACTGGACTGGAACTATTGTATTCCATAGTTCTTCTCATTCATTGCTCATCAGCAGCACAGTTGATTCCACCAGACCCTCAGTGTTGTCCCCCGCATTGTTGTCATCTCCTGCAATCTCTGCAATGGTCACATAATTTTCCAGCTCAATATTCTCACTCAATTCCCTAAGCTGCTCCTTCAGTTGACTTTCATCTACCATCAATTCAGCCTCATCATCCCTGGAATTATCCTGCTTCCTCTTCAACACATCAAACTTGCAGATCACCAATTTCACCACAAGATTGACCATTGTCTTAATAACCGAGGGTCTTATATAAATGTGTGTAAAATGTAATGACACCACAATTACACTAGGATAAGACTTCCTGCCAGTCCTCAATTAACACAGTCTACAACTTTTCTTCATTTGTGGTAGATAATGTGTGAGTTCTTGGGAGGCTTGCTAAACCAATCAATGTGATTAACTTAGCTAGAGCTTTTGTGTTTTATCCCAACTTATAAACTTGTCTAGGATAAACCGTCTAGACACTGGAATGTGGTTCCTCATCAAGATAATTCTCTGTAGAGACAACAATCTCAAATATGAATACATTGACCAAAGACTAGTTGGTCAAATAGGCACAAAGTGGTGAGAAACTGGTCTCACAAATGATCAGATTGACCAAAGCTTGTGTTAGTCAATATCAGGAAATTAGGTGAGAAGCAGGTCTCACAAATGAACAGATTGACCAAAGCTCATGTTAGTCAATATCAGAAAACTAGGTAAGAAGCTGGTCTCAAATAAACTGAGTTTCTATCATAAGAAACTTATGTAATCTCAAGGAATGTCTTTTCCCTGCACTTGGTACTTCAAAGGGGCTTTCTTTGTAAGCAACAATCTTCACAGTGAGTAGCTCAAATTGAGATTCAAATGATTGCAAGTAGGAGATCCTATTTTTTGGGGAGGAGAATGGGCCCTCCTTATATACATTTTGTGTGGGAATATTATGTAAGTAAAAAAGCAGAGCAATGACATCAGAAGTGGAGCAGAACATTCTAGAATATTCCATAGGTGGAGTAATGACATCATCATGACATCATAACTTTCAACAGAATACTTGCAGGAGTATCTGTGGAGCCATATGACATCATTATGACATCATACCATGTAGGTACAATTTTGTGAAGTATCTGATGGGTCAGAGCATCCCAATGAAAAAATAAATCAAGGAAATATTAGAGAAAACAACTCAGAAATAATAATACAATAACAAGACACAAAACACAAAATACAGGCTTTTTAGATAGGTTTTTGTTAGGCTTTGAACTTTTCTCTATGGTTTCCTCTAGTCAAAGTGAATAATCCAAAGGCAAGGCAATACCTTAACCTTCTTATTGCTTCACAATATCAACTAGGTCATTATGTGATTCCCATCTCACAAACGACTATAAATTCATGAATCACAGAGGGGAAACTGAACTATTTGACCAAGGTTTGAAACCAAGGTATAGGTTGACTAGTCTGATGACTAAGCTAACAGACTTTGTCTTTTAGGGGGCTACCTAGTAGTTATGTCCATGCATTATTCCAAAATCATGCAGGACACCATGTGCAGGAAGCACCTGGTATGCATCGCTCATCCTCCAAAATCTGGCATGTCACCAGCCAATTCATCAATCATAGCATCATTGTTGGATGCATTGTCACATGTGACACAAAGAGTCTGCACCTTCGTAAGTTTGAATTTCCTATCCATTTCAAGTCTTTGCTTACCTTTTCATGTGCTCCAAAATCTTCCAGGACACCCTGAAATGTGCAAGCAAGTTCTTCACCTGTGTGGGACTATTGTGACTGTCATATTTGCATCAGTGCTTCAATGTTTGTAAGTGATTTTTACCTTTGGAACTTCAACTATATCTAATGGCAACCACAATGGTTCACCTTTGAACTCCAGGTGTGCCAATACTGCCACAAGGGCTCTATGGTTTGAAGAGGTCCACCCATTAGTACTGAAGTTAATCTTTCCTTCATATTCCTGGTACATTTTTCAGTCTTTAAATCAATCATAATTGTGTAACTAAACTTACACTTGTCATTTTAGCAATGCACTGATGGTCCTTGCAAAAATGAGGTGGACATCTTGTGAGACAGTCAAAGGAGACAGTAAGTAATATTCTGGTTGTCTGGTCTTCATTAATGACTGAAACCCTCTATCTTAAATGATTTCAAATGGATGCAGGTTTTCCGACACCCAATGCATGATTTCTGCTCTGTCAAGCATGTTAGGCCCTGCTCAAGACACCATCAAGAGTACTATACCTTGTTTCAGTGTGGGTATGCTGACAGTGAGAGTATGTGATTTTTCCTTTACCCTTTCTTTCGAATGACACAGTGATTGATCTGTTTTGTAGGACACTGCTAACAATATTCTTCTGAACCTTGTCAATATCTTTCACTTCATCTGTAGCCTTCAAAATGTCTTCTCCCCAACATGAGTGCACATGTTTGTGCAGGTTTCCTGTTGAATGTGTATCACCTTTATTGAGGTAATACCTCACAGTAGCTTTGCAACCCTTGCCTTGGCACCTAAATTCATGTGTGTGCCACCCATCCTGCTCACTAATCTTAGAAATCAGATGAAAGAATGCATACACTTGTGAGTTCCACTCTTGCATGAGTCATTTTTTGATAGGTTTAAACCCGCACTGAGCTCATCTCCAGCACTTTTTTCTTTATTTTCAGGCACCACAATTTCAATATCACTATCATTTGCATTGTTGTGCAACTCCTCCTCCTCCTCTGTTTGCACAAAAGCTCACTGACTTGGTGCAGCTGCTGCATCAGACAATCCTGTGACCTTCTTAGTGGAGCCACTATCTTTAGACAATCCTGTGACCTTCTTGGGTGCTGTCACCTCAGTACTTTCAGTATGTTGGTTCTTTTTTGCCTTCTTCAGCTGTACCTTCACCTTATCTCCATTGGAATTGGCCTTCTGTTTCTTTGATGTTATTTCTTCAAGTGTAGCTTTGGCTTTGACAGAGATCTTCAGGATTCATTTTTCAGTGTTGGACTGCATTGTGCAAGTGGATGTTGGGTGAATTATGCTAGTGTAGGTTTGTGAAATATTTGACAGCCTTTAGGGTCTCATTGCAAATGCCCAAGTCCATTTGACTTGTTAACTGACTTGTCCCCTTATTACCACCATCAATGAAGAAAACCTGAACATGGCAAGAAACAAAGTAAGTAACACTTTTTGATGTGGGGTTCCTGTTACTCATCATCATTAACTGGGCTGTCAACAAAAGTACACTATCCAATCACCACGAGGTACCATGAAAATGTGATGTGTGCCTCACAAAGGATCTGAATGGCCAACTGGTATCAATGGCAACCTTTCATTAACACTAGCATGACCAGACCATCAACTGGTCTGCTCTGGCTCTGCATGCATGCAGGGGATCAGCTCAAGGAGCAACTTGTACTCTTGTTAGAGCTCCTATATTTCTATGGGAGCATGGTACCTCATTGCAGGTTGCACCACTCACCCTGAACTGCCCACTGCAGCTGGTTGCTACTACTACTCCCACACAACATGTAACCACTTCAATTTCCTCCAGGCAAGTGCCAGTGAACATTATGTCATCTCCAGTGCAAAGTCTCCCTTGAGGTTGTTCATATATGTAAGTTACTCCAACCAATGACAAGTTAATAACTAAGGCTGATTTATTATAGCAATACATGCAATGATTTTGCTGTGGATGTGAACTTTATCATATCACAACCTCCATCAATCATGGACCCCTCTGAACTCATTAACAATGTCACTCCTCATCCTAACACTTGTTCTCCTCATGCTCCACATGCCACTACATCCCTTAGTGTTCCTTCTTCCCCTTATACAGCACCAATCTTATCTTTGCTTTTGCAGCCAATGCACCCTCCACCACTCACACTACTGAGTAAAGACCAATCTATCTCCATGGTGCTTGAATAGCCTCAAATGGGTTACAGTCAGCAAAGAAGGCACCAGCAGAAGGTGTCTACCAAACCTGCTACAACCCTTGATGCCAAGACTGGGTTTGTTGCAGCACATGATATTGTAGATCCAACCTCCATGTCCCATGAAGAAACTGAGTGGCAATGGGATCTTGGCTTTTATAACAATCCAAATAAATTCAATGACTTGCACAATGACCTGCTTGCACACACATCACCTACTGCAAGTGA